ATGCTACCAATTAAACATGGAACAATTTCAAAATAATGCTTAATAGCAAAGTTGATATTCGATCTCCAACTGTTAATATCTTCTAGATATCGAATACAGAGATAGTTCGGAAAAAAATTTTCAATATTTTTCTCGTACTCCCCAAGTGAGCCTCCATCACCCCTTAAAAGGAWTGACGCCAATTTTGAATCACCCTGTATATATAGGTATATATATATATATATTTCCATTCGACATATTTGACCCATATGTTACCATATTATGTTAATATGTTATATAGCCATATTATGTTAATATAATATGCCCACTGAACCTAAAATTCGACATTTTCTGGGCAGTTGGGCCTCAATTTTCTTGCAGGGATTGTGTGAGAGAATATGTTGATACTATCCAGTTCGATAACCACGTTTGGCAATGATTTTATTAGAAACAATTTTTTCCTGATTTTACGTGCAGATCGGAACAAAAAAGCGCTTTCGAGTTTTTTGGTTTAAATGCTTAGTTTCGGGTTCAAAAAGTAAAACCGCTGGATTTTCCAATAAAATTAAGGCCATCTTGAATATGGATATAATACTTTTCACTCATATTCAGACAGGAAAACGGTGCCCGCCTATGATTTGCTTAAAAAAACATTTTTTTCAATTCTACAGGGAAGAAAAAATCCCCGTTGAATATTTTTCTAAACTGCAAAGTTTTTGGTTAAAAAAATCAAATCTGAGATATTGTGTTAGAAAATAAACGGTATGTTTAACATTTGATGCTTTCCAGGCAGAAAAACGATGCCCGCCAATGGTTTGTCTGGTTGGGAACAAGAAAGCTCTATTAACATTTTTGGTTTAACTGTGCAGTTTTTCATTATAAACTGAAAACTATTGAATTGTCCAAAAAAATTTCAGCCGTTTTTTCCATTTGATAATTTCTTGAAGAACCCTAGGAGCCACGCCAGCCTAGTTTTTTTGCAAACGAAATCTATTTTCTAATATTAACTATGGATTGCTGTCCCATTAGATATTTTCAAACCAGTCAGGTCAAGTCAAGGTCTCATAACTCATTTGCCTATGATTAGCATTTTATTATATTTTCTGCCTTGGATCTTTTTTTATAAGAATTTCTTTTCTATTCGGTTCACCTAACTCAATGTTCTTAATGCTGTCTACTGCTGCGCCTCGAATTTCATTCTAAGGCTTTTGGGTTAGTCTTATTTCATGAAAGGCTTTCAAAACTATACACTTCAAAAGCAAACTAGGTCATGCTTCATAGCCTGTCACCCAATTGAAGAGGGATTTGAATCTTATCTATTCCGCTACAGTAGAAATAGCTTTTGAACAGCAATTGCGAATGAAAGGGTTGATTTTCTGTGACTTTCTCTTCACGTGTTCCTTACAATTGGGAGATTTATGGTGCGAGGTGGTCATACCTTTTAGGTATACCACCGGTTTCAAATTATTCCTAATAAGCATGTGAATGTCTAAAAATGAAATTTATTAGTAACACAGATTCCAGTGACAATTTTATTGCACGTGTTTCATGAAGTATTTTCAATTTGCTCTTAAAAAAAAATTAAAATGTAGAACAATGTCTAACATCCAACAAGTGTCTCTTCCGGGCGAAGGCTTCAACTATTGAATTGCTTCGTCCGTGAAATTGAAGAGCTGTGGAAGAAAATGAAATATGTTGAAACTGAACAGATGCGCCAATGCGATGGTTAAGATCGCATTGGGTTTGATGGAAAAAGCACGCATTTAGCGGTTTTAAGACGCGCGGAATTTCCACAATTGTTTGAGAAGCTTTGAACGAAGACTAATTTCTATAGTTTTAATAAAATTAAACCGCCAAAATTTTTTTTAACGTCCGGTTCTGATACAAGATTTAAATATTTCTTCACTGACAAGCGAGGACAAAACTAGCACAATTTAGCCCCGAATCTGCAGTAATGAGGGCAGATATTTCCAGATCATCAGTCCTTTGTGATCTACTCTGAACGTGAAAAATGAAGACACCGTTTTCTTCAGGTCACCTTGTAACTTTTCCTGATAATTTCGGCCAGTTGATTCACAGAAAAGGCCCCTGTCTGTGCATTGTATTGTATCTACAGTTAAAGGGTCCAGATCTTCGAAGCCCATTACAAAATAACCATATGATTAGTGACTATTTAAGAAGAACCACACGCTTGAAATATTCCTACCGAAATACACGCCCAATACCTGACTGAACAGAAGGGAACGTTGGCATCTTTTGACAATGGGGAAAACCGTATTCGATTGTAGGGTGGGTTTCTTAACAAAACAACCTATGTGTGCCCCCTGTTTGGTCGACTTTATCGACCAATTAAAGGCACATTCAGCTTTGCGGTTGATTCAACTTAATTGTTAAGGGTAACAGAGGAACACAGCAAGACTCCCCTGTGATGAAGACAAACGTTCTCCGTTTCGAGAACGAAAATGCTCAAAGACAAAAACAGGGACTTGGCAACTTCGCCAGATTAAAGTTCAAAAGTTTTCACGCAATAGTTTCTGAAATATTAGGCTGCGGTTAAATTTTAACATTACTTTAATGCTCCTATCGATATTTCAAAAACGATGACCATAAAACGCCGACTAAGAAAAATAACATTTTCGCAACGTTTAGTTTGGATTATTTTCAACCTCAAAATTCATCCTAGATCAATGACCGATAATCGAAAAATGGCAGTTTTTGATTCATTCCAATAAAAAAACGATTTGTGATATTAAGTTGTGGAGCGCTATTATTTATTTTCGAGTCTGTCTGAAACAGTTGTGAAAATAATAAAAAATGACTAAAATTTCGGAGACATTTTTCCATTCAAGCCCCATTGCGTATTTCACTATTCACACAATTGAATTTTAGTAAAAGTTGTGCGTTTTCCATTAACAGGTAGGTGGTAAAGTGGCGACTTTGATGTCGCTTTTATGACCCATAAAATTGCCATTTACTGTCGCAGAAACCTACGGAAACAATAAGACTAGGCGATACGGGTGGACAAGGGAATGTGCATTCCTAGGCAGTGTTTAATGGCTATTAA